GCCCCGCCCCGCCCCGCCTCACCACACCCTTCCTTGCCCTGCCGCGGCTCCAGCCATACCATGCTGCTCCAGGAGGCAGTCTCCAGCGGGCACCGGTTAGCTTGGCTAGACCAGCCGGCAGCGAAGCCTGCATAGCACGGGTGGCAGAGGGGGGTGGGGGGTCATATAGCTCCATGAAGGCGTGCAACCTGGCTAAGGCACCTGGGCCGCGTTCCACATGGACCTTTTCTGCGGAATAGCGGGAGGAAGCGGGAGTACTTCGCTGACGGCAGATTAGTCAGGCTCCAGCGCGGTTTACTTTGGGTGAGCATGTATGTGCTGCTGCAATCGGTGCCAACGCCAACAGGCGGTCTCTCCTCTTGGATTTCCACCGGATGAAAATAAGAGTGCAGTACTGGGGGGGGGGGGGCGTTGTTCCCTCTCCCTTCTCCGCCCCTCTCCCCGACTCGCTTTTGGTCATGTCCTCCCCCCTCCCCACGGAGTCCATGTTGCCTGAGCTCATGCAGAGAGCAGGACACAGGCAATCATAGTCCTATCAGGCCCAGAGGCGCACTCAACGCGGCCAATCTGAACTAATACGTGTCATCAGTGGCAAAGATGATCCCTTCACGTCCACGACGACTGGTCGATAATGCAGCCCTTTCCTGTCATGTGACGTTCATCTCGGGTGCCTTTCCCGCCGAGCGGCGCGCGCGCAGCCTCCAGGTAAAGCCTCCAGGAGGACTTCCCTTATTCCCCGCGGCCGCGAGAAGTCCCCCCGTCCCATGTCTCACGTCCCCGATCTCGATAGTCGCGCGCGACGGACATCGCGGCCAGCCAAGCTGATCGAGACACTTTGGCACTTCCCTCTCGCGACGAGAGGAGTCTGTTGACGACCAGTGCAACATCACGTCTAGCCTGCTGCAGCTTTCCACCTGCGGTGGCAGTACAGGCTTACATCGCTGATCTGCCGTTCTTTTTTCACTTTTCTATAACTTTAGAAGCCGTTTCGTGCAATGACTCCCCACCTTCCATGTCTTTGCATACCAGGGACAAGGCTGCTTCAGGTGCAATCTCAGTATGGATGGACTCCATGGCTTACAGGAGACGCCTGCACTGTGGTGTTGGCGGACAAACAGGTATTTTTTTTTTTTTGTTCACGAGCTCGACACTTCATCGCTTTCTCGTCGCCCCCTCCCCCTCCTCTCCCCGCCCTACGCCCTTCCCCAACCTTCCTTTCCGTTGCGTCACAGAACACTACTTCTCTCAATGTGAGGCGGAGATGCGTTCAGGTGTTGCTCGCCGCTGATGTCCTGTCTCGCTCGGCCGTTGCATAACCCAGCCCAACCCAGCCCCAGCCTGCTGGTCGGCCGGAACTATTTCCCACCCCCTCCCCCCTTACCCTCCGAATATGTTCCGTAGGATTTAGGCGTCCCAGCCTAGTGCGCATGGTTCTGGATGTCGGAACCCCTCTGGACCAGGGCGCGTCTGCGAGAGCGAAGAAAGGGAAGGACAATTAGTGAGAGTGGAAGGATGAGAAATTGATCCGACAGCGGGGAGCAAGACAGAATAACACAATTTCTATCTTTCTTTTTATCCTCTATGAAAGAACGAGGCATGTAAACTCGGTCTTAGAATCGTAATAAAATCCGGGAACCCTCCTTTTTCGTCAATGAAAATCTGAGTATTCAACGCCCCTCAAATCGATCGGTTTGAAACTGGCGCTGCTGCTGACAGCCAGATTAGATGTTGATTTTATCAATTTATTAATTTCTCCTTACATAAATCACAAAGACTAAAAGAAAACATTGCGTTAAAATTCTAAATTTGATAATAAAAGTAATTCAAATTTCAGTTTTGCTTAGATAAAAATAAAGAAATACAAGTTCGTTTTGTGTTTTCATGTTGGTAAAGCTGTACATCAGACATCAACACCAACAACGTACACACAACACAAAGTGGAAACAGTTTTTCAAAAAAAATGGCAAACCTAGAATGCCCTCTCGGTTTTAAAGGTGATTCTATGATGAATTTAAGGTTTTCCTAACGTTTAATTGGTTTTTGTATCCTGGATTTTTTTTGTTAGTGTTGTATTCAGCTCTTGTACGAAGTACCACGTTTCAGAATAGGTTATGTCTTCGTTTAGAGCCAATTTTGACTTTAGATATATATCTGTTTGGTCGTATTTTGTTTTACTCCCAGCAAGCAATTAGCCAATTTTGATTGTGAATCCTTAATGAAAACTACATTTTATTATCACAATCATTGCTCCTTGGTCCCAATAGTTTCTTTCTGTAATGTTTACGATTATTGCTCTTCAAGTAATATGTCTTTTTTTTCTTTTCAGTTCTTGGGTTGAAATTCAAACCTGAAAGTTCAGCTCAACACATGGTCTTTATAAAGCAACATGCAGTACGGGAAAAATGTCCAGAGAAGCCTTCTGATCGCACACTCTTCATGCTCAATGTGCCCCCATATTGTACTGAGGTAATTTTGTAATTTTGTCATTGGTTGGTTATTTGCAATAACTTTGCAGTTTGTCTGATAGTCCCTTGTTTTTCCAACTGACGCAGAAATCATTGAGCTATGCATGGCGTGATTGTGGAGCAGTCCAGTCAGTCTACTTCCACTCTAGACCTAATGCAGGTATTCCTCCTGTCAATGAGTCTCAGTTTTTTCCAAGTGTGGAAGAAGTGAAGGTAGGAATTTCGTACTTAATAAATACTGTTATTAGTGTTTATGTCTCAAGTTATTAATGTTGGTTTTTACTTCTACGTATCTAGGGATTCAAAGTAGCCTATGTTGTTTTTGAAAAGACTGAAGGTTTACAAAGAGCCTTAAAATGGAATCAAGACCAGCCCCTTACTATTTCATCTTCAGAAGCACCTGTTTCCTGCGGTGTGAGAAGTAAGTTAACTTTTAATTGGTTGGATTTGCACATCACATGAAACTGATTCTAATTACCGTACCATCTTTTGCAGAGTGGTGTGAGGAATATAATTCTAAAATACCAAATGTAAAAGAAATGCAAGAAGACATTGACAAGTATATGGCAGTGTATGACAAGAAGGTACTACAGCAAATAGCCAAGGATAAAGAAGCAGGAGAGGAAGATGAAGATGGCTGGGTGACAGTGACAAAACGGTTTGATCATTACTTCAAAGATTTGTACATTGGTTAAGATGTTGAACCTGAACCTTTTACTAATTGAAGTGATTGTTTGATAGGGGTCGTAATCCTGGCTTTACCCGGTCTGAAAATTCAAACAAACGGATACGTGCTCAAGAAGACAAGAAAAGATCCAAAAAGCAGTTAATAAATTTCTATTCTTTCCAAGTTAGAGAGGCAAAAATGAAAAGTGAGTACTTGATTATACTTTATGTTAAGTTACAGATACAGAATCAAAATATGTCCATATTGGAGACTAATATATACATTTTAAACTTGTAGATTTGATGACTTTGCGACAGAAATTTGAAGAAGACAAGAAAAGGATTCAGGTGCTAAAACAAGTCAGAAAATTTAAACCATTCTAAAATTTGTAGAGGCTCAATAAATTGTATACATATTTAATTACCATACTAGATAACACCCACTGTTCTTTGCAAATGACCACACAAAAAAAATTGTCAGTTGATGAATATATTTTTTTATACAGTTAATTATTCACAATAGTTAGTTAATGTAAGTCTAGGAACAATGTTCATAGATTGTAATTCTTGGAACAACAACTTACAAGCATAAGGAATATTGATTGTGGATACTGAGGCTGAGCTTTGACAACTGTGGCACCAGCCTGAATATGCTAGTAGACCGCAAATGTTACACACATCAACCTGGAAAGCATCACTTGAAACCATCAATCTTTCCACAAGCATCATACTGGCACCATAACCGATCAAACAATCTCTTTCCATCTCTCCAAGTCGTAAACCTCCCTCGCGACTTCGTCCCTCAGTAGGTTGTCGTGTAAGCACTGCTCTTGGTCCCCTGGAGCGTGCATGCATTTTATCTTGAACCATGTGTTTCAATTTTTGATAGTAAACCTGAAGAAAGAAATTCAGAAATGAAAATTGACACATATAAAATTATGCTGTATTTAATAATTTTCAGTAAAAATGAATCACTCCAATCAGAACTAATACTAACCGGACCAGAATATATGTATGCTTGAAGTGGTTCTCCTGTTATTCCTGAGTAGAAAAAGTCTTTGCCTTGGTAGTTGAATCCATGTTTGACCAATTCTTCACATACATCCTTTACTTTAGATCCGCCAAAAGCTAAGGACAATTTCGTTTATCAATAACTTTCAATATTTACGTTAATGTAAGACAAAATATTTATCCAGTTTTACCTGTTCCATAATGGAATTTTCCTTCCATCAATCCTGCTTTTCCAGCAAGTAATTCAATTAGTTTGCCAACTGTCATACGAGAAGGAAAACCATGGGGGTTCATAATCATATCGGGGCATATCCCTTTATCATTGAAGGGCATATCTTCCTGTTCCACAATTAGACCTATTACGCAGAAAATTTATTGTTTACAAGACTTGAGATAAAAGCATACAAGAAACAAAGGGCACATAAATAACAATACCCAAGTAAACATGATGAAAATCTATAACTGACCTGTAACACCTTTCTGACCATGACGACTACTGAACTTATCACCTATTTCAGGCCTTCTAGTTTGTCTCAACAGGAGCTTAATCAAAAAGGACTCTTCAGTGTTAGAAGATACCATAACTTTTTCAATATAAGATGGTACAGTTCCTTTGTAAGATACAGGGACATCCCGATACTCAGGCTGAACTGGTTCTTTGGGTCTACTTGCACTTACTGTAGGCATAGACTTGTTAACTAGTGTCTGCATGTGACGATACATGACAAAGAAATTTTTAATGAAAGAATATCTAATGTAATTACATTATACATCATACACATTTGACATTACCTGTCTATCTTGAACCATCTCTCCTGGAGCAGCTATGCCATCAACATCCAAAATATCATGTCTCCAAATTGGCTTTTTTGTGTCTGCATCAACTAATGGGCCCAAAATTCTATCAAAGGTTTGATTTGCATATCGCTTCATAGTACACTTTGAATTACGATAAACTAAACATCTGCCATAGCCTGAAAAAAAAAAAATTATCTTCAAAAATCTGACAGTATGGTAAAACAATTCATATGTTTAAGGTTAACTTAAGTATAACAGACCTCTGTCAATAGATGCCTTGTTCAAGATCAGTGCATCTTCAATATCATATCCTGAATAACTCATTACAGCAACTGTTGCATTTTGACCAGCAGGTAATTTATCAAAATTTGTTAGCTCTATTGTTCTTGATTTTACCATTGGGGCTTGTGGATAGACCAAATTGTACAACAAAGTATCTATTCTGTTACGCTGATTGTATCCAATTGTTCCTACAAAAAACATAACAATACAATAAGAGTAGAAGAAGACAGAGCCATAATTTCTAGAACCGAACAAAAATCGCATTTTCCAAATAAATATAAAATAGCTTACCCATAGCTTGTTTACCCATGGCACACTGATAAGTATTTCGTGGACTTTGATTATGATGAGGGTAGGGAACTAATCCTGCACAAACTCCTAAAAGTGTGAAGGCCTCAATTTCAAGATGAGTGGTTACATTTAATTCAATTTGATCTTCAGTCAAAGCAATATAACTGTCATTTTCTTCATTTACATCCAAATACTCAATGAGACCTAGAAGTACAAGATGTGGTTATACAGTATTCCATCAACCTCAAAAATACAATAATTATAATGACTGTAAGAAAATCAAATGTACCATCATTAAGAAAATCTTCAAAATTTCTCAAGCCTTGAACTAATTCATCTATGTGGCGTTGGTGGACTAATGGTCGACCATTCTCAACAATTATATAAGGTCGACATAATCTACCACCATCAGAACTGATATACACACAAGAATGTTGGTGTTGAGGATAGATAGATATGAAGCCACTTATGTAACCGCCTCTTCTCATCATACGGAAAACCCGGACAAGTCTGACATAGTCTCTACACACACCAAGAATATTACCTAAAAAAAATTACATTATCTTTAAAATGTTAGTATTTTACTACGAAAAAAGATTTTCAAGTATTATTGTACGGATACCAACCATTCAAGAAAACCATGTAAACCTGTGGACCATTGATTTCATCCCCTCCAAGGAGACTTACATCTTCCACTCCCACATTATATGCTAGACGAACAATTGGCCCCTCTTCTACTTCGGTTGTAATGTGCGTCATTAGAGCTAAGTTCTTAACCAAACCACACGCCTCACCTTCAGGAGTGTCTGATGGACACAACATGCCCCACTGACTCGGCTGTAATGATCTTGGGCCTGACACTTTACGGGATTTTTCAAACTGAGAATTAACTCTAGTCATCATACCAAGAGCAGATATGTATGAGAGCCTTGATAACACTTGAGTGACACCTTGACGTTCCATCTTGAATCTCTTTATGGTCCAATTGCCAGTTGAGATGGCATGGGCTAATCCATTGGCAATCTGATCCTGTCTCATGTGAAGAACTATGTCAAACTGAGCGGCTTTAATTTTGGGGATATTTTTGTCAGCAATAGTCTTCAACTCAAAGTTAAAGCGCTTGAACAAATCCTCAAACATAAGTGAGAGCAATGAACCAGCAAGCTCCAATCTTTTATTGCCATAATAGTCTCGATCATCAACGAGCTTGGAATTTTTTTGTGCTTGTATAACTCTTCTGATCATTAGGGCCATATATGTGGCTTTTAATTTGAAATTGAAGCTTTTCACCTATATCAATAAGGACTTTGTATGAGTGGTAGATAATTGGTTAAAACAAAACTTAATAAGAAACAAAAGATTTGAAGACTCACTGGAACATGAGCTAATATGGTTGTAGCAAGAAGTTCTCTGACTTCATCCATAGGGGATTTAGCCTTAGAAGCAGCACTGAAAAAGCGCTTTTGTCGGAGTTTTGCACCAAGGAACCTAGATCAAAATTTTATTGATTATTAGATTAGAATATTGGGAAAAAAATGGCAATCATTAAAAAAACTAATTCTGAAACAAACTTAAGTGCTTGAAGCTGAGTAAAAATATTGTTTTTCAGACATTCTTCCAATGATGGGGCAAAGCGTTCCAAGACTTCTTCTTCAGTTCCAATCATTTGAACAATTTCTTGATCACTTACCATACCCATAGCTTTAAACACAATGACAATAGGCAAATCCTAAAAAATAATGCAAACAATTATTAAAAAACGTACAAAAGCTGTACAATATTGCTAATTTCATGTTGAGAAATACTTACATCTTGAAAGGTGTTGTGTTTCATGTAGTACTTGCCATTTTTGGCAATAATATTTGTGCGAGACTTCTTATCGTGAGTTGAACTTGTTACCTGACACTGGATACCACCTTTTCTGTCATCTTCAACAATCATACGATTACGAGATAACTGCTCTTGAATCAAAATAACCTGTTGAAAATTTGAATGACTTAATTAACACTTTCTTTAAGATTGTCACTAACTAATATCAAGATTATTTGATTGAAATACATTCGCAATACATCTTAACTAGACAACTAACCCTTTCTTGACCGCGAACTACAAAATAACCACCAGGGTCATGGGGACATTCATTCATTTTCGCTAATTCATGTTCAGATTTTCCAGTTAAAACACAATGAGAACTCCGTAACATAATTGGCATTCTGAAAAGAAATATCAGAGGATTACATAAGTGTAAGTAGCTGAAACAACAAGTACAATAGAAAATTGCTTACCTTCCAATTATTACATCTTTTTTGACAACTCGTTGGGTACCTCTAGTGTATTCAACATCAACTATAATAGGAGCAGAGTAATTCAAATCTCGGAGACGACACTCATGAGGTGTAGTGAACTTGATAGTGTCAAAGCCTTCCTCCACATTTGGCTTGCCAACATAGACATTGGTGTATCTGAATGAACAAGGACAATTTTTTATTAGGAAGATTGAAATAAACAAAACAAGAAAAAACAGCTGGCAGGAAAAAGTTTTCAGGGTAATGGCAAGGCATACTTGAGGTAAAATGTTGGACTGACATCACTGAGAACTTTTTCATTAGCTTGAACAATCTTTTTGATGTCTACATTGACAAAGTAATTGAAGGAGTCAACATGTTGTTTAACAAGTCCTTTCACTTTCAAAAATGACGGAACCAGCTTCCATTTATCCTGAAAAGACAATTGTGTAAAGGGATATTCAAATCACTGACAGCTGAGGAAAACAACTACATAAAGCAGACCAATTAAGATTGTGGCCTGAAGCAAGAGATTCATAACCTCGGATATCACAACAAGACAAGTACTTACTTCAACTGGTTTGATGGGTTCCCCCAATTTCCTCGCATCATATTCCTCATAGACATCTGCCCTTCCCCTGTTCGTCAACTTCCCCATGTTGTCATCACATTCACGTATTACGACGAAGAAATACAAGTAAATAAATCACACATGTTCTACACGTTTGGAACAGTTCAGACGAGCCGGGTCAACATGAATGAACCGAGGTATCGAGTGTCAATCGATTCAATGTTGACCAACCTAATGCCACTTCCACACCCAGAATTTTGAAATAGAACATTGTTACCAGTTGTTTAATTCTAAAGATGACATTTGATTAGGAAACATATAATAAACTTCTTTCATAAAGTTGATGTAAATATGATTACAAGACAAGATTTATTTCTGAAAAAATATTGCAAATATTTTTCTGTGACTCAAGAGCCCTCTCTCGGCAGATCTTTGCATCATGTGTTGTTGTCGTCGCCATATTGTGGCTATGGCGATTGCTGCTGTGTTGTTGTTTTCATTTCACTAGAAATTTGAATCGTATTTTAAACTGGAAAGAAAGTTAGTGTGATCTTGCGGAAGAAAGGAGTTGAATGTGTAAAATATAACTTTAGCCTTTTTGGTTAATACCACAACTTAAACAAACGCTATGGTTGAAGTCAAACCTATTGACGTTTGTTGTAGTAGTCAGGATCCGGTGAGTACTTTGAAATATAACAAATGGAGATCAGAAAATTCTCCTTTAACATCTCCTGTGCACCGCTTTTAACACGGAGATACCTCATATTCTATTGCAATCATCAAAACCACTTCTGGCTCTCGTTGTTGTATTGCATTGAGTTCATTTAGTCCCTGCAGTAGAAAGTGTCATGATACAGTTTCTCCAGATTTAGTCAAAACAACTATTAGCGATTCTCATATCTTTTCCCATCTTTTAATGACCTTCGATCATCTTCTTATGAAAATGGAGATTACTTTGCAGTTGTTACTAATTCAGTATGTTTCTGTTCTAGGCTTTCCCAGCTCTGAATCTCGTCAGAGGTGCCTCGAAACCTAGTGATGAGAGAAAACAATGGTTGTGCTCCGCACCCGATGAAAAATTTGCCTATGTTACTTTGACTTACGAAAAACCTTTTGTTATTAGTAGTTTAGAAATAAAAAATAATGGTTCCGCCTATGTGCAAGTGGAAGGTGGCTCTTCGGCGGAACCTGGTAATTATAAGGTATGTCCATTGCTTGCTCAGCAAAAATCTTACAGTTATCACTTGCTGTCAATGTTGAGATAAACATTTTTTTTTTTATAATTTTTCAGGTACTCTGGAAAACTCTTAATCTTATGACACCTACTGAATCAAGATTTGGAATGGAGACTGAAGGAATATACCTTTTCCTTCCTCAAGATCTGGCAACTGCAGACAAAGATAAAATGTGGGATGTATTAAAAATTACATGTTCTCAGCCCTTTAACAAATTGCAAAAGTATGGTTTGTCCCATATCATAGCAAGAAGTGCTCTTCCTGTGAAGGTGGAAATCCCTAGTTCACCCTCTCCCTGTGTTGGTGATCTTCCTTGTAAGTCAATATTTTCTAATTTTTTAATGCTCATGCTTTTAAAAAATGATGCAAAATATCCATCTGTTATTATATTTATCTATCTTGCTCTTTTATATTTTTTGCAGTACCTGGTTTGAAACAAGAACCAGTTGATGAAGGAAGGAGTATTGCAGAAGCAAATAAGCAGCAGGAGAAAACTGTCGAAAATCAAAACCAAATGAGTAGTGAAGTCTCCTCAAGTGGTTGTTCAGAGACAAGTACTCTCACTTCCCCAGTCAAACAAGAGAATCCTTCTAATAGTGATACTTACTTCTCTTCCCCGGGAAGATCTGAACCATCTTCTTCTTCAGTACAGCAACATGACTTGCAGTCTCCACCAGTAAAATGTGAAGACCCACCTCCAGTCATTGCTGATTCACAGATTCCACAAACAGATTCTGCAGAAGAAGAGTTGCTAGCAGGTCACAGTTCACCCCTAAAGAGAAGAATTTCAGAAACAGATTCCAATTCAGATGGCAGTTCTGATGATATTCAAATTATCAAAAGACCAGCACCTAGCAATATTGCATATAAGCCATTCAATAAATTACTAGAAGGTGTTAAAATTGTTATTAGTGGATTCCAAAATCCTCACCGAGCAGACATAAGAACTCGTGCCTTGCAGTTGGGAGCACAATATTCTCCTACCTGGACGGATAGCTGCACACATCTAGTGTGAGTTTAAATATTTTGTTCCTTTTTTTTGCTGTTCAGTGCAGATCTTCTATATTTAATTGTTGTTATTTTTGTTGCAGGTGTGCATTTTTGTATACTCCTAAGTATCGTCAAGCAGCACTAGATAATGCACTAATTGTTACTCGTGAGTGGGTTGATCAGTGCTTCCTACAAAGAAAAAGGCTTCCATGGAGAAGGTACTATTTTGAGATCAATTACTGGGCTTGCCTCTTTTCGTGGTCACTCTTAAGCATTTGGAATATTTTTCAGATTTGCCTTAAATCCGTCTGAGAGGTGTGATGATGGAAGTGGTGTTGAAATTTGGGAGCTTGTTCCTAATCCGACCAGAGCTGGTTCTCATAGTGATATTGGATCTACTACATCTACTACATCTCCAGCCAGCAGTTCAAGGTATT